TGTATGGCAGAGCAAATAAGAAGAATCAAATTAGGCAGAAGGATAAAAGTTTCTCAAATTTGAAAAGATTGGAGAGTACTTTAGTATCAGTTTTATGATCATCTTAATGATTAAGAAACCATAGCACAATTATTTCTCTAAGGGAATCTTAGTGCATTCTTATGACTAAGAAGCGGAATCTTGAATTATTTAAATGGTTAACTCAAGAAGATGAGTCATACTTCGTTCCAATATAAGTCTTAGAGTCATACTCCAAGATTGTAATTTGAGTGACATGTCTTAAAGAAGGTTTAAAACACTTGTCAAATGTAAGAGTAAAGGTTTCCTACTCTTGTACATTTGAAATTGGTAAGTTGTGATGTTTTGGATAAAACAAAGACCAACTAAGGCCAATTGTGTGAAGTGTTTGTCTTGATTAGAATCCGCACTATCTCTTGGATGTTTGACAAGGGAGTCTTATAGGTCAAGAGGACAGTGGGAGTCTTAAAGGTCTTGAAAGTCTCAAGAACTAATCAAGAATAAAACCCGAAGTTCTTCACTACCACACGACTTGAGGTTTATAACCTATCATGTTGACATATTCTGTGCCCATTCCAGTTAAAGTTGGCTTTACATATGAGTTCTTAGAGTTCTCAATTGGTTGCACAATAACTTGGAAGCAATGGCAGGCCCTTGAGCTGCCAGGTGGCAAGAAATCAAGATTGAGTTCAGTCCATATGAGTTTGGATTTGTCATTATCCTTGTCTTGTGACTATGGTTTTGACAATTCACATGGATAAGAACACATACACCAGTAAATCTAAGTGTCATAAGGTTTCTCTCCGATTCATGAAAATGATGGTGAGGAAACTCTTTCACTAAGTAGATTTTAGCTAGATAGCAATTGTAATATTTGCATTCTCAAAGTCGTTAGTGGAGCGTGTGTGGTTTACCGGGACACTAACCTGGACTTGTGAGAAGTGGCAAAGGTCTAAGCAATTGAGACTATGATTACGACATCCCTTTTCATAGTTCATAAATTGTTAAGACACACAAGTGTGCTATGTAAGGCAAGGTGTATGATTTTCATAAAGTTTTATCAAAATAATCTAGTATCAGAAATCTGATCTTTGGTAAGAAAGTCAACTGATTTCTGAGTACATGTCAAAGCTAGTGGGAGGATAAGTGTTATGTTAATAATCATCATGTTAGTGGGAGCATGATAATTATGATAAGTATTGCAAGTTAGCAATATTAGTTATAGAAAACAAAAGGTTTCAATTGGGAAAAAGTTGTTTTGCTATAATTAAGGGAGAGGAAATTATACTTCATCTAAATCTAAAATCTTAGATTGAGGTTTTAATCATTAGTCAAGGATATATATATATATAATATATATATATATATATATATATATATATATATATATATTTCATGTTGGAATGGCTTAACATAGGAAATTTTGTATATGGGTCCATTATTTGCGTTCTAAAATTCGATTATGATTACGGCATCCCTTTTCAAAATCTAAATTATGAGAACTTGGAAATTGAAATGGAAATATTATAGCAAAAGACTGGTTTAGTCTTTATGTGAGACATCATGAATCGTGTCCCATATGCTTCGATATAGGATCGATTACATGTGCTATATTCATCCTTTCTAAAATTTCCAAATGCCTGGGCATTAAGAAGGGAAACGGTTTAGAACTGGATATGACTAAAAGGATTAAACAATTGTCGAGGACAATCTAAGGTTTACCAAAGATTGGGTGCTCAAGGACAGTTGGAAGTATAGTGATAATTCTGGAAGGACCATATTGACATAATCTGTAAGGAGTAGCTCTTGTTCAGAAGTGACAGTCAAAATGGAATTTGGAAATGTTTCAAAGTTAGAATTTTCAATCTGTTTAAGATTAGGAAACTTAATGCAAGAAGGATGTTTCTAAGGAGCTTATCTCCTTTGGAATGATTGTAATGGTTGTGTCAAGTCTTTCTGAAGTGCATAATCATTACAAGAGGATCAATGCATATAAGTTTAGAATCTAACAGATTTCAGTAAATCGCATGAATTTGGAATTCTTGCATTTGCAGTAAGGATTTGGGACTGTGAAAAGAGGATCATTGGAGTTATGTTCAATTGATCTAGTTCACAAAGTAAAGATCATAGACAAACATAGTATGCATACTTGGTGTATGGCATGACTAGTGTTTAGAAAACATAGTGTACATGCTTGGAGCATGGGACAACTATTGTTTTAAATTCAAGAATAAAGTTGATAGCTGAAACAGTATACAATGAATAATGTGTAATCATATGGTGATAAATAAAAGGTGTTTTATTTATGTTCATAGGTTTGATACCATATTGGATTCAATTATTATTGTGTTTCATTTTGCATGTTTTGACTTCCAGAATAAACTAGGTTATTCTTCCGGAATGACTAAGTTATTCAAACCATCCACAGTCGGTCATATGTTGGAAGTAGATATGAATCAAGACTGTCATGGGTTGGCTTGTAGAGGTCTAAGATGTTGGACAAAGGGCTACAACACTCATGAGTGCTCATAAGTTCTGAGTATTGGATTCAACCCGCGCTCATTGGAATCACTTCATGGATTTTATCACGAGTGATCATGAGACGATAATATCTTATATTCTTCAAACCTAGAGATATGAGTTGTTACTATGAGTTGGTTGTACATTGGTTGTACATTGATTGCACGAAAACGCATTCAGTGTTATAAAACGTGCCTTTGTGTATGATTCAACAAGTAGCAGAACAAGCCATATGAGTCGAAGTTTATCCATTCCTTTTACCTTCGGGATAAAAGCGATATCAGTGGGCCCCTCGATGATTTAATGATGACACATGTGAGTGCTTGGCCAAGCCAGGACTGATTTGATTTGTTCAATTAGTCAGTCGTCATGAATCGGAAATCGGGAAACAACAAATGGACAGAGAGAATGACTATAATCCATGTCTCAGTCCATATGATATCTAGAATGGAGGAATATATGATCCCTTATCTAATGGACAAGTTCGTTGACAAGATCAGAGTTCGACAGCGGCTTTAAGAGCTACGATTGCCAGTTAGGTTTTGAAGTCATACTCAATAATAGTTTTAGACTTATCCAAGTGGGAGACTGTTGGATTAATGTCTAAGTCCATAACTATATTTGGTATGTACTTGACCCGACCCGGCATGGTCCATTTGGGTTGCACTTCACCACACAATTTATATGGATAGTCTTTTGAGAATAGTATATTTATGATTAATATTAATATATTATAAGTTTAATATATTAATATGGAATCATATTATTTAATTAGTATTGATCAAGAATTAATTTAGAATTAATTAAGTGATCAAAATGAACTAATTAAATATGGACTCTTATATATATGGAATGGGCCAAGTTCATTTAGGTTGGGCTAAGCTTTCATGGATAGTCCATGGAGTGTTTAACCCATGGATCATATGAAATGAAAGGTCATGGTTTAACCCTAGTCTCCATACTATATAAAGATGTCATTGGTTGGTGAAATGGGCACTAGTATGGTACAATAAGAAAGGCTAGCCGATTTCACTAGTGAGAACCAAGTATCCATATTCTCTAAAGTCTTCCAAGGTGTTTTGGTGATTTGTGATTCCACTTGAGGCTTCCACACTATTGGGGCTAAGCTCTTAATGGTTGTAGATATCAAGCTACATCAAAAGGTATGTCATCTAACTAGTACTTTGTAGTATAAGAACTTCATAATATGCTAGTTAGGTTTAAAGCCTTGGAAAGTTCTTATTTGCATGTATAATAGAGAAAACATAGATCCAAGGTTTATAGGGTTGCATGTACACCATAGGAGTGTTAGAATGCTCGAAACCCATCAGATGCCACATCAGATTTCATTAAATACACATCCTGCTTTTATTTCAAAATCAAGGGTTACATATAAAAGGGGATTCAAGGGTTCATTATCAGTTTATGCTTACAAACACAGTAATTACCAAATACTCTCTAATAAACACCAAGATTTCAAACCCTAACAATGGTCACTGCTGCTAATCCCGATGCTAATCTTTCTCACACCACTAATGAAGTTACTTCTTTACCGATTATAAAGATTCAAGGTACGAATGATGAAGTGGAGGCTAGTGTTTCTCAATACCCTGAAGAACTCAATTTGCTCATCGTTGCTTTGAAGAGTTTTGTTCTGTCAAAAGTAATGTTTAATTCTTTTTCTATTTCGCTTTCATGGATTTCTTAAGTCGGATCAACTGCTACGTATCCAAAAGCTTTTGATGTTGTTACCTTCAATCATGTGAATGATAAAAAGGTCATATTGTCCAAGAAGCTTTTCTGTCAGATTTTGGAAATCCCTAATTGCCCACCATATGGCAATTTTACCTTTCCTCAAATCGTTCATATGTTTAATGAAATGGGCCATCAACCTTAATTATCAAAAATCAGTGACTTCATGAAGCTGGTCTTCCCAATGTTTAGAATTTCTTATTTGGTATTTTCTTGAGGTGTTTGATTGGAAGAACAGTTGGTCTTGACAAGGGTCGAATGGAGGTTTATGCCATGGTTGCAGGGCTTTATTATGATCTTCATGTGGATTATTCTACTCAACTATGGAAAGAATTTCTTAAGAGTATCGAAAACACGAATGCTTTTCATGGCATTTCGTGTGCAAGATATTGGAGCTTGATTTTGCAGTATTTTTATGAGAAGGAGGGGATTATAGTACCAAATGATGAAAAAAAAGAAGTTTTTCATGTATACAGTTTTCTGGTGGATGCAACTGATGATGCTGAGGAGTTTCCTTTTGTAGCTAGTATTCCTGATGTGATGCTCAAATGTGTTGATCCAACGAATACAGTCTTAGTGACTTATTTGCAAACAGTTGATACACTGTTGAGACTGGGATTTTATTTGCAAAGGAGGAAACAAAGTCAAAACGTACGAAGAAGACTGAAACTGTTTCTTCTGATAAACCAGTTAAGGAGTCTAAATCTACAATGATTCCAACGAAGCCACCAGTTACTGATGCAGAGCCAGTAACTCACGAAGTTTCAATTGCTGACACAACCTTAACTAAGCCTGTTGGTCCATACACTCAAGAAAAAGAAATTATTCCTTCGAAGAACGATGTTTTTCAAAGAATCAAAATGAAGTCAAAGCATAAAAGCAGATCTCCACTCATAAATGTAGTACGAAACCCACAGGTTACTCATCAAGGAGTATTATTTTTTGAAATTCCATCACCTGTTTCCCCATCATCAGAGAAATGAAGGGCTGCAGATATGGCGAAATATATTTCAATGAAGAAGAAGAAGAAGAGCACAATGATCATCTCTTCTGAATCTACAAATGAAGCAGATGAAACAATTTTAGAAACTCTTAAAGCAAATATCCAAAAAGATACTTCTACTCCTTCACAGACAGTTGTTATACCACTCGAAGAATCGGTTGACAAGTCATTTTATGATGAGGCACGAACTTCTGACATTCTTGTAAACGTATCTATTACGGATGCAAATGTCATCATGGGTGAGGATGATTCGAAGAAAGATGACCAAGGTAAACCTTTGACTAATACCTCAGAAACTTTTGTTTCTTTTCTTCCACAAATTACACCTGCCATACCCATTACTTCCACTACAGATTCTCCTACTTTTAAAAACCTCATTAAACATCCATTTACTTCTCTTCTTCTCTTCTCAATCCACTGATCTACCCACAACCACTTCACCAATTCAAGAATCTATCTACATGGACACTGAGAATGAATATGTAGCTTTTGGAGGTACTTTTGAGAATTTGGAATTTGATGGAGACGAAGTTGATTTCCCAGATGATATGCTTATGACAATGAAGAAGTTTAAAATCTTGAATACGAAGTTGAATTCAATTCTTCAATCACAAGCAAATATTGGGGGAGGTAATTCTGTGTCAAGTTTAAAAGTTGATGGTTTGTTAAAATTGGTAGAAGGCAAGATCACTTTAAAAGTTTCTGGAATGATCAAAGACTCTGAGTCTCGTATTTTGGCCAAATTTGATCTATGTGATCATAACAATGGGATGAGGGTGAATTCTCATAAGTCCACTTTTGAAGGAGATTTGAAAGAATTGCGACTGGCAATCAAGGATCATCATGTATTGTTCATTCAAGACGTCAAGAAGGCCATTGAAGATGTCAACTTTACACTTCAAGAGCTTCTTCAAGATATGGAAAAAGTTATTGCATATGTTCGAACAGATTATGCTTCTCTAAATCAGAAGGTTGACATAATTTGTGATGCTGTGATGAAATTTGCCAAGTTGTATGAAAGTTTGAGTCCTCAACTATCTCAACTCTCTACAACTAAAAACAAAAATTTTATGGAAGTCATTACTTTGTTAAAGGAGCTCAAAACATTATCTACAAATCCAGTCTCATCTTCTCAACTATGTTCGGATGTTCTATTCAAAAAAATTTCTCAATTCGAAGAAATACTTCTCGAAAAGTTGGCTCCTCTTTCTCGTATATCCAGCCTTCTACTAATAAATGATGGCCCACCTGTTTTTACAACAGAGCAAGGGGGAGAAAGGAAGGGTGAAGATTCAAAGGCTGGTGATCATGATGTGAAGGTGGTGGGAAAGGTATTTTCTTCGAAGTTCCCAACTACAAAGCCAATCATAGCAACTGCTAGTCCGATTACTTCGATAGTGGGAACAACCGTGCCAATTACAAGACCAATTTCGAAAGGTATTGTGATTGGTAAATCTGTTGATGTTGGTGGGAGTGATTCGAAAACAAAAGAAGTAATTGAAGATTCAACTTCAAAAGCCAGAGGTAAAACTATTTTGGTGGAGAAGTCAAAGGAAGAAAAGAAAGCTGAGGCTGAGGCTGAACTGGAGAGGATGAGATTAGTACAGAGCATAATGACACAAAGAGCAAGTGATCCTCCAGGGTTGAGCAAAGGTGATCTATCAAAGCATTATAACTACAAAAAAATCGAAGCCAAGGTTGCATTCAATCATATGTATTCATTCGAAAAAAGCCAAAATAGAGCTACATAGTTACGAATACTGATGCAAGCCAATTGGATTTTCCAATCAATGAGATGATGTTCATCATGCCCCAGTTTAAATCCGTAAGAAAATTCAAAGAGAAGGATGAAGGGAAACATATGAAGATTAGATTTGATGCAGTCGTTGCTAAACCTGTTGAAGAGGTTTGGTCACTAATAAAGATAAAGAAAGTGATCAGTATAAAGAAGGATGTTGTTTTTGAAAACACAGTCCACAATATGAAGTATGTGGTAGCCAGGGAGAATGGGAATGTTTGTGATTTTACTAATGCTGATTTTCCATTAAGGAACTTGTATGACCTTATACAAGTTGCATTGCTATTAAAGGAAAGATATTTTTCTTATCTTTAGAATATTGATCCGAACGACTTCAAGGTTGGAGTTACTCACATCAAGATCTTCATCGAAAATTATTATGAATGCTTGGCTATGACTGATGTGGAGTTAGATACAACGAAAGGATTAGAAATACCATCTCCAATGGCTCCTTCGAAGACTCGAGCAGATCTAAAAAAGTATGTTGATGGTGAAATTTCCTTGAATCCTTTTGGGTTAGTCTCCTCCGGAAAGGACAAGTCTGGGAAATTGAAATGGTTTTTGTTCTAGGCTGGTGAGGTGGAAAGATACTCAACTTCTCAATCTATGAACTTAATTGTTCGTGTGAATCATTGTGAGAAGAATAATGAAGGAGATAAGAAGGAGCTTAAGAAGATAATATCCTGGTATACTGAGATACAAAGAGTGATGATGTATTCCATCCAACTGCTTACGAATTGAAGTCTTCGACTATGATTACAAAGGGGGATATTGTAAGGGTTGTTTTTGTTGTAATTAGTTGAAGCATGGTTTGTACTCTTCGTATGATTTTAATCTATTTTACTAGGGTTCTTTTATATGAAGCTTATGTTTTTATGCTTTATTATATGTTTTGTATGCTTTATGTGTCCAATAGGATCATTTACTAGAGTTAGATAACTTTGACAGTCTTGTCTATTTTTCTCTGTAAACTCAAAGCATAATAGATCTGAAGCGAAATCTTATTTACATCCTGTGCTCAATCTCTCAATATTAACTTTGACTAATACCTTACTCAATTCATTGATTCATCAATAGGGTGTGTAGATCCATGTTGGATCGGTCGGTGATCGTCTTTACTGATGATATTATGGTCTATTCTAAGACCAAGGAGCAGCATAAGCAGCATCTGAGGGATGTATTGGAGACATTGAGAGTGGAAAGGCTTTATGCCAAATTCTCAAAGTGTGATTTTTGGCTGTGAGAGGTGCAATTTATGGGGCACATTGTCAACCAGGAGGGTATTTCGGTGGATCTAGCTAAGGTTGAGGCAGTAATGAAGTGGGAAGCACCGAAGAATGTATACGAGATCCATAGCTTCTAGGGTCTAACGGGCCATTGAGATTCATCGAAGAATTTTCCAAGATCGTCGTGCCTTTGACCAGCTTGACCAAGAAGAATGTGACATTTTGGTGGGGCCCAGATCAGCAGAGGGATTTTGAGATGATATGGCGGAGATTATGTGAGGCTCCAATTCTCGTACTACCTGAGGGACTAGATGATTTGGTGGTGTACTGTGATGCGTCGATCTCGGGCTTAGGCATTGGATTGATGCATAAAGGACATGTGATCACGTACGACTCGAGGCAGTTGAAGCCTCACTAGGTGAACTACCTCGCTCACGACCTGAAATTGGTGGTAGTGGTGTTTGCCCTCAAGATTTAGAGGCACTACCTGTATGGGGTACGGTACACTATTTACACTGATAATAAGAGCTTGAGGTACTTGATAGATCAACAAAACGTCAACATGCGACAGAGGAGGTGTTTGGACATGCTAAAGGATTATGACCGCGAGATCTGATACCATCCAGAGAAGGCCAATATGGTAGTCGATGCTTGGAGATGCAAGACGGTAGGCTCCCTAATTGGGAACTTTTGTTTGAGAATGAAGGTGATCTCTCCATTCTTGGATATGATCAAGGAGGCTCAAGTGGAGGGTTTAAAGAAAGAGAATTGCAAGTTAGAGTGGATATGGGGAAAAATTCCTTTGATTGTCTGAAATGGTCAGGGTCTCTTGACGTAATGTGGTAAGGTATATGTTCCGACAATGGGAGGAGTGAGGCATAAAATATTGGAGGAGGCTCATAAATATAGTTTCTCTATACATCCTAGGGCTACAAAAATGTATAGAGACTTTATTATGAGTTACTGGTGGCCCTGCATGAAGCGGGAGATCGCATGGTTCGTGGAACGATGCCTGACCTACTGGAAGGTCAACACCAAGCATCAGCAATCTCCTAGCAACGTTCAGCCGTTACCCATTCCCATGTGGAAGTGGGAAGAGATCACAATGGAATTCATCACGAAGTTATCGAGGACAATAATGGGTGTGGATGACATATGGGTTATTATGGATAGACTAACAATGAGTGCCCACTTTATTCTAATATATAAGTTCATCTCCGCTGAGAAATTAGTAGATATTTATGTGCGACCAGTGGTGGAAAGACATAGGGTGCCAGTTTCAGTAGTCTCTGACAGAGATGTTCAATTTACATCTGGATTCTAGAAGAAATTCCATGAGGAACTTAGCACTCAGTTGCATTTCAGCACGACATATCACCCCTAGACAGATGGCCAAAGCGAGAGGATGATCCAGACACTCGAAGATATGCTTTGGGAATGCGTGTTGGATTTTGGAGGTAGTTGGGATACATACCTCCCATTGGCAGAGTTCTCATACAAAAATAGTTAGCATGCAAGTATCGAACGATCTCCGTTTGATATGTTGTATGGTCAGACATGTAGGACCGTGATTTTTTGGGGCGAGGTATGACACCGAATAATGGGGAGCACTAAGGTAGTGCTCAAGACTACCAGACTGATTCAACACGTGCGTGAATGGCTGCGAGTCACGCAGAGCCATCAGAAATGTTAAGCTGACCGACGACTATTGGACCATGAGATTCAGGTGGAGGACTTGGTGCTACTAAAAGTGTTTTCATAGAAGGGAGTCATCAGGTTTCAGAAAAGGGACAAGTTGGGGCCCCAATATATTGAACTGTTATGGATTACAGTGCGGGTGTGCATGGTTGCCTATCGCCTGGAACTGCTGGAGAAGCTTAGCCAGATTCACAACACCTTCCATGTGTCACAGCTACAAAAGTGAGTCACCGACAAGGCCGTGGTCGTTTCACTAGATGACATTAAGTTGGACGAGAACCTGAACTACATCGAGACCTTATTGCAATTCTAAGTAGGAAGACAAAGGTTCTTCGGCACAAGGAAGTGAAGTTAGTGAAGGTGCAATGGCAGCAATGAAGAGGCTCTTAATGGACATGGGAATAGTAGGATGAGATGTGATATCACCATCCAAACTTATTCACGCCAGTAGACTTTGAGGATTAATTCTAGTTCAAGTGGGGAGATTTGTAACGCCCATTCCATGTATCATTTAATTTATCGAATTTTTAGGGTTTTGTGCTTGGACTCAGCGAGTTGGGGAGCTCCAACTCGTCGAGCACAGTCATTTATAAGGACGCATGATTCAGATCATATTCAACGAGTCAAAAGGCCTTGACTCGACGAGTAGGCAATTTAACGAGAAACCTACTTTTTAGGGGTTTCTACCCTATTTAAAGA